ATTTTCCACCTAACTCAGTTACTTATTTTATGTCCTAAAAAAAAAAAAAAAAAAAAGTTTATGATCAAAAAAATACACTTTTCCACAAGCACATCTGAGGTATTACTGTAAAAGAGCCTCATATAGCAAACGTATATGTTCCTATAAAACCTAACCTGAAACTCCTGAAGAACGAGTACAAAGGCTGTGCAGAGGTATCACCCGTATGATCCCTAATTTTAAAGTATGGCAAGCGAATACCAAACAAACAGTTGCTTTTTAAATTGACCTTTGTCAATCAGTGTGGAGCTCAAATTTTGTCTGGGTCAGCAGAAATTCTAGTCGCGTATTATAGCAGGTTATAATACCAGTTTAAATTCTTTACTTTTTTTCTGATAGCCACCCTCATATGTTTACCAGGTGAATGATAACTGCTTTGTTGAAATAGGCCATTTATATACATAATTAACCCTCAAGTGAAATTCACAGCTAAATGAGTGCCTTCCCCCTACCCTGCGCATTCCCAATTTCATGCATTTCTTATTTTTTTTTTGTACAGACATAATACAAAAAAAAAAAAATATATATATATATATATATATATATATATATATATATATACACACTACGCATTGGGTATACCAAGCTCCACCCAAAACACAAAACTTTTTTTTTTCTTTGTTTTAGAGTGGGTAAGGTTCTCTAATCCAGTTTTTATGGCGGTCTATGTCCCCATGGGGAGATTTCTCATTTCCCATTCGAGAGACCATGATCATAGATGGGAAGTGAGGGAATGTCTTTTAGGAATGTAGCAGTAATAGACCAGAGGTGCCAAAGGTAGAGGATTGGGTGGAGAGTACGAATCGGATATGTAGGATGGAGAAATTGTATTATATGCAAGAAGACAAGATGGGGCTATTCTCTAAGAAGTGGAGAAAATGGGAAGAATTTATGGTGAAATATATGAAATAGCAGTGTGAGAGAGATGGAAGTATTTATTTATATAGTCTATATTCTATCTAGGAAAAGAGGTAACACAATAATGCAGAGTGGGTGGATGTATAAGGGGGGAGGGTGTTTTTTTTTTTTTTTTTTTTTTTTTTTGAGGTGGGAGGGGGTATTAGATTGGGGAGGTAATGGGAATAAAGATAGTAAGAAATGTAATTAATGATTTGGAAATGGTTTTTGTATGAGAATATTGATAAAATATGTATTATATACAGAAAATAAATAAATATTTAAACTAAAAAAGGAATGTAGCAGTAAAACATTTTAAGCGGAGTAACGAAGGTTAGAACCCCTGTCAGATTTTTTAAAATTAGTGTTGCATCCCTGTTAGTGGTCACCAGGACAGGAAGTTAGTGGCTACACAGATGGAGAGAAAAGCCTGAAAAGTTCTAACCTCTACCCGTATTCTATTTAAAACAAAAGCTTGCATGAAGTTGCAGTTAAAGTGCATAAACCAGGTGGCAGTGGAAATGGTATCGGCATCCTGATTACATGTTATGGGTTAACACACTGCAAATTATTCCATGTCTCATTAAGAAGATAAGTTTGTCCAACACCTGCTGGTCATCTTGTGGAGAACGTACTCTTTCTGACTTGTATGCTGTATTTCATACTGCGGTTTACTATATACACCAATGCAATTTGGATTTAAATCAAATTAAAAAGCCTGATGTAGGTTTTGTTTATTCCTCTTCAAATACACAATTGTTGATTGAATGGTCACTAAGGGCTTGTTCACTCCACAATTTCTGCTTTCCAGATGCATTTTTGCATACACGTTTACAAGCATTTTTGATGCATTTTCAGTTTTGTTCCAGTCTTTCATTTAGGACAATGTAGGTAGGTTTTGATGCATTCCGGACAAAAAAAAATGGAAATGTAGGTAGGTTATGATGCATTCCGGACAAAAAAACAATTGCGAGTTGTACATTTGTTGAAAGCACACAAAATGCTTTTCAATATCTTTTAAAAGTGTATTCAGAATGAATGCCGTGTTTGCCATGTATTCCAAGGGCCCTAGTTCACACCAGTCTGCTCAGTTTTTTCAAAAAAAGTACATCCTGCATTTTTTTTTTTTACTAAACTCCAGAACACATCAAACACATGTAAGCACACCAGAACGCACATTTGCCCTGAATGAAAATATAGATTTTTTTTTTTGACTTGTCAAAATAGAGGGAAAAACACACTGAAACGCATTGACAGCGCATCTAAACAAGTATGCAAAAATGCATCCAGAATGGAGAAATTGTGGGGTAAATAAGCCAACTGAGATCATATAAAACTTAAAAATGGTCAGCAAAGTATCTGATAAATGTGTGAGCTGTTGCAGCTTTTGTGTGGGTGTTTGTAAAACTTCATTCACTCCCCTTGATTTTGTAAGTCCGATACTGATGATGGTACAAAATCCTTTTAACCCCTTTAGGTTGGCGTCTCCTGGCCTTTTAGAGGTTTCTGATGCTGGGAGGCAGAGCAAGGTTCCGTGATGGACTGTCACAGTGATCACATGACAGGACTGCTTCCAATCGCAAGTAGCGATCAGGAGCTTTCCGTTAGGTGCCAGTAACTGTGCCAGGAACACGCATGGCACACGCTCTTGGTTCTGTTTTACAGTTGGTACGCAAATATGTGGCCTGTAAATCTTATAGCCTAGGCCATCTTTATGTAGAGCAGTGTTTCTCAACTCCAGTCCTCATGGACCCCCAACAGGTCATGTTTTCAGGGTTTATCTCAGATGAAACAGCTGTGGTAATTACTAAGGCAGTGAAACTGATCAAATCACCTGTGCAAAATAATGGAAATCCTGAAAACATGACCTGTTGGGGGTCCATGAGGACTGGAGTTGAGAAACACTGATGTAGAGCAACAATTCTTTTTTTCAGATCCTTAGAGAGTTCTTTGCCATGAGGTGCCATGTTGAACTTCCAGTGACCAGTATGAGAGAGTGATAACACCAAATTTAACACACCTGCTCCCCATTCATACCTGAGACCTTGTAACCCTAACGAGTCACATGACTCTGGGGAGGGAAAATGGCTAATTGGGCCCAATTTGGACATTTTCACTTGGGGGTGTACTCACTTTTGTTGCCAGCGGTTTAGGCATTAATGGCTGTGTGTTATTTTGAGGGGACAGCAAATTTACACTGTTATACAAGCTGTACACTCACTACTTTACATTGTAGCAAAGTGTCATTTCTTCAGTGATGTCACATGAAAAGATAGAATAAAATATTTACAAAAATGTAAGGGGTGTACTCACTTCTGTGAGATACTGTAAAGCTGAAAATTGGCCTGGGCAGGAAGGGGTGAAAATACCCGGTATTGAAGGGGTTATAGTGCAATTACAGTATAAAAGATATCTGCTTTTATTCAACGTGCAAAGAATTGGTTTGAGTTGTTTGCATCACTTATTTTTTTTATTAAGATGTACTGTATATGGGCAGCTTGAGTTGGGCATCTGTGCTCCCTGGTCATTTTCGGCAGTAACTAGTCTACCAGAACTGTCTAATTTGGCGATTCATATGCTGAGCGGGAATTGCTATACCAGAATGTGTGTGGTCAACTTGGGCTATTCCTGCATGTTCCTGAGCTGAATGACTGTGATTGGATGTGACAGTAATAACCTCACATGCTCACTCTGCAAGCTTCTTTCTGGGTACACTGTGATACGTGCAGAGTGTAGTCTCTGTAGAGAATGAACAGGATAATCCAAGGTAAGCTACGGAGAATGTAGACAAAATGGGTAAAATCAGGGGCTGACTTCAGTGCATTGCTGAAACCCTATTCAAATCCAGTAATCCGAACCTGAAGATTGTAAATTACTGAAATTTGGTTAAAAAGTAGTCAGACTACCTATTTTGTTTGGTTGCAGCACAAAATCAGCAAGTTGTGTTTTTTGTTTTTTGTTTAAAGTCCTGGTAAAATCTTCATTTGAATTTGGTAATAGATTGATGTTCCTAGGATTATGGCTTGTAACACATGACCTCATCTTCACTGCTGATGCTTTCTGTTTAAAAAAAAAAAAAAAAAAAGTATTTTAATTTTCCATCCAATGTATTGGCATATTTAAAGAAGTAACATGTTTGTGAAATGTAGAGGCATGGTAGTTTAATAAGTACATAAAAACTGGAATGCTCAGGCAGGGGCTGCACGTTTATCTGAAAAGGTCAGGGTAACCACAGTGGAATTTATTTGGCTGACACTTTGAGTGGAGCTTCTGTTCACTGGAGCTGTGAACTAGAGGCACCATTAAAAACTTTTCCTATACTGCCTCCTGGTGGCTATTTACAAGAGTTGAATTGCTGGTGTTTTTTTTTTTTTTTTTATTTATTTTTATTTCAGGTACTTCTATAGCGCCGTCAATTTACGCAGCGCTTTTACATATATATATATATATATATATATATTGTACATTCACATCAGTCCCTAACCCTCAAGAGGTGTACAATCTAAGGTCCCTAAGTTACATTCACACATACATGGGCCAATTTAGACAGGATCCAATTAACCTACCAGCATGTCTTTGGAGTGTGGGAGGAAACCGGAGTACCCGGAGGAAACCCACGCAGGCACAGAGAGAACATGCAAACTCCAGGCAGGTAGTGCTGTGGTTGGGATTCGAACCAGTGACCCTAGTACTGCCAGGCAGAAGTGCTAACCATTTAGCCACTGTGCTGCCCCCAGGTCAACTTTTTCACTTTGTTGTCATATGTATGTCTCAAATAGGAGAGTTTTACAGGTGCCTTCAACTAGTCTGCGTAGAATGTGAAAAAAACTAGTATTTTTAAATATTAAGCAAATCAAAACCTTTTGATGAAGTTATTTTTGTTATAGAAGTACATTTTTATCTTTAGACATGCAGATTGTTTTTAAACTTTCATAAACCGTATGTCTTATTAATTTCCTGCATTTTTCTCTTTCTTTCAGCAGCTTCATGAAACGGTTTTTAAAAGGAAGCTAGACAGTGCAGCTTCACCTCAAAATGGGGATCAACAAAATGGCTATGGAGACATGTTTTCTGTCTCCAAGAAGCTTCGACGTGAAGATGGACTAACGGGAGGGATTGGCTCATCGAATGGGATGCCCCCAGTTTCTCCCTTACATCAACTGGATAACAAACCTCCCAGTGGAGATTCTTTGCAGTTAAACGGAGGCCATTCGATTGGACTGGATAGTGTCAAGAAGTGTCTTCCAGACACAGGCCTACAACTGAATTCGAATGGAGATACTGATGAGTTTTCACTTTGCTTAGGCAAAGAAATGAAGCAGGAACCTGTGGATGACTTGCCCTGCATGTTATCAGGTGTGGGTGGTTCCATGTCTCAAAACAATTTGATGCCTGACTTAAATCTGAATGAGCAAGAGTGGAAGGAACTCATAGAGGAACTAAATAAATCTGTACCCGATGAAGACATGAAGGATCTATTCAGTGATGACTTTGAGGATAAAAAGGACAATGAAGCTTCAAATTCTGCTACACAGACACCTTTGACCCAAGATATTCATGTAAAGACTGAGTTTTCTCCTGCAGCATTTGAGCAGGAACCTCTTGGGTCTCCACAAGTAAGGTCTACATCATGTGGACCCTTTGTTGGGGCTCCTTCAGTGCCTGCTAGCAGCTCCTCTCCAGTGGTAGGTGGTTCCCAGCCTGTGTTCCAGCCATCTTCCCAGGCTGTGACGGACAATTCCAATCAAACAGCGTTGCAGCCTTCAAATCAACCTCAAAATGTGCCGAGACCATTACCCAACGTATTAATGTCTGGGCAGAGTACTGGAACTACCAAAGAGATGTCCTCAGCCCACCAACTTCAGCAGATTGCAGCAAAGCAAAAGCGGGACCAGTTGCTGCAAAACCAACAGCAGCCTCAGCAAGTACACCAGTCAAATCAGATGACCAACTGGCCGCAGTCTCGAACTTCACAAAGTCCCCTTGGTGTTCCTGCTTATGGTATGGAGAAATCTACCAGCCCTTCTGTTTATCAGCAAGAATTTAATAACCAGAAACTAATGATGCCTAATATGAACAAGAGTTCCCCTCGCGGCGGAAGCAGCTATATACAGCCAAATCATGTTAATATGATTCATAAACCTTCGAACAATTTAAACCCCAACCAAGCTGCAGGTCCCAATTCTATGCTGGACTATGGCAACACAATACCTCTGTCACATTATGAGGCTGACTGTGGTCCTGGGGTAGTAGCTCAGAACCAGAACAAGAGCGTAATGATATCTTATCTTCAGCGACGGCAGCAGCAACAGCAGCAGCAGCAGCAGATGCCTCCTATGACTGAGGAGCAAAGTCAGATGTTCTTGATGAAACAAAAGGCTGGAATTCCTTACAGGCCACTCGTGTCACATGGACAGGTAAGGTGGTCGGAATATAATGTATTTGAATGTTTAATGCATTAACCTCTTTTCAGACTGCAAATGTTAGTGATTGTATAACACTTGGTACTTTATTTTTTTCAACGTATAGTACTGAAAGCATTCGTATTCTTTACAGTTATTGCAATAACTGGCATATGGGGAGGGGATGGGTAGGTGTATTAAAAGCAATATGATTTTCATATATATGTGTGTGTGTGTGTGTGTGTGTGTGTGTGTGTGTATGTATATATATATATATATATATATATATGTGTGTGTGTGTATGTGTGTGTGTATATATATATATATATATATATATATATATATATATATATATATATATACATATAAATAATAATAATAATGTAGTTCTTGGTTATATGACCTTGGGGTACTGTGGCAGGACATTGGCTGGCGTCATCAAAGTCTTGAATGGTAACTGAATATGTTCTAAATGAAGGACCTGCTCCAGTATAGAATTTATGTGATGAGTCTAGAGAACTAGCATTTCCAGGAAGAGGTGAGCAAAGGCAGCTTCCGTATTTTTTGCTGATGTTCGTGAATAAGACTTTGCTGACATCACTCTCATAGCGCAGTGTACCTGGGATAAAGGGAGACTTTTCCTGTGGTTTATAAAGACAGTGTTTTTCTCAGAGGCACGCAGTTTTCTATAGCAGCAAGTTTGCTTTTGAATAGTCTACTTCGCTCCAGTTTCTTCTTTCTGTTAGATATTAGTAGGATAAATCCAGCATTGGTCAGTCCTATAAAATACTATTACTTTCCCATAGCCAAATTATGTATTGCCTCTTCTTAATGAGCAGGTGCTTTTGAGGACAATGCAGTTTACTCAAAATGTTGAGAGAGGCTGTGGCAGAAACGCATCAGTTTCATGGATTTTATATCTTCTACTGTGTGCTACTAAAGATATTATGATGAATTGAGTTGCCGGCTGTAATAATGTGACATATCAGTGCAGTTTACTGTACCAGGGACCCCTGTTGTATGTGCTTGTCTACCTGTGTGTATCGGGGTGTGCACCATGCATACACCAGTCTGAGCACAGGAATGTGGCCATGTACATGCTTATTTAAAGTAGAGCAGTCGCCTAACCAGATATGATTAGTCCTCTAACAAAGGCTTTGCTTAGATAAAGTTGGTTTACATTCATTGAGTTAGAAGTTTCCATTAAAATACAGCTGGCCTCATTAAACAGGAGAAAAAGTGACATTGTGGGCATAGTCTTATGACGTTAAAACCGTTGTTGCTTTAATCTCTTCACGGTGCCTCTATGTCTGCTATGCTAGCACTCTCACAGACATTCCACATTGGTGCCAGCCATTCCCAGCTTCATGGCTTTTTTTTTTTCAATACACTTTCTTTGTCACAAGGAATTCAGTAGGCTTTAGAAGAACACTAGCTGGTAAAGTGGAACTTTACTCCCTTCTCTTTAACATTTAGCACCTAATTTTTTTTTTAATTTGGAGGGGGAAGGGGGGAAGCAGGTACCTAGTTTTAACACTTAATCTCCTACCCCCCCCCCCCCCCTCTCTGTTCGCCTGCAGCCTTCTGAGATACATCACAGATCCCAGAAGACTGCAGGACTGTTCACAAAGTCTCTCATGCGGCACAGTTGGAAGCCAGAGCTGAGGACCTGAAGCCCGGTGAAGAAGCGGCTCAGGTGACGACAGCGCTGGATCCCTGGACAGGTAAACGTCCTTATATTAAGTCAGCAGCTAAAGTACTTGTAGCTGTTGACTTTTATTTTTGAGGGGAGATTGAAGCTTCTTTTTAACAATATGTAAAAAAAAAAAAATCCATGGCTGTCTCATTCCACTCACTTTCAGCCTTACCTACCTGTATCAAGAGCTGAACTATCCCCTTCCCTTCCCCACTGCAGGCCCTGCCTGGCTCGCTTTCTTCTCCTCCACACATCTCCTCCCTTTATCTACCCTCTTCTGTTTGTTCTCTACCCCATAGTCAATATGCCGCTTTCCCACCCCCACATCATAAGATCATGGACACAATGTCACTTTTATTCCTGTTTGAGAGGCCAGCTGTATTTTAATGAAGACTTTGTACAGTTTTTCCTTATTGACTTCTCTCCTCCTCCTTCTCTTTGTAGACCTTTTCCTTTTTCACATTATTTTAAAATGAGCATTTTCAGGGTTCAGAGCTGACAATACTATACTTTAGGTGACTTAGAGGAGCTTCAGTCCAAGAAAATTTCAAACTCTTAATAAAGCGACACTCACCTGTCCAGAGATCCAGCAGTGTCCTTGCCTGGGCCGTTTTTTTTTGGCCAGATCCCTGGCACCAACCTGTTTACTGTGGGAAGCTAGCTGTGATTCCTTGCCGTCTCACAGCCGGCTTCCCACTGCGCAAGTATCACTTTACTTTGTGAATAGTCTCACAGGTTTCTGTGACCTATTATGTATCCGTGAAGGTTGCAGGCAGTGAGGTGGGAGAATGGACTGAGAACTTCCAGTGGAATCGCTGTGGCATCCCCAAAAGTCAAAGTCAAGTATCCTCCCAACCTCTTTAAAAAAAAAAAAAAAAAAAAAAAAAAGCCCCCAAAGTAAAAGTGATCCTGTGGCTCAGGGCTTGAAATTTCCGCTCGCCAATGGCGAGTGGAAATTATGGTGTGGGCGAGTGTGTCCCCCAGGGCAGGGGCGTATCTACCTCGAGGCACCACTCCCCGGAAGAAGGGACCTTTTGGGTAGCAACAGCCAGAGCCATGCAGGGCCGCCAGCAGAGGGGTCACACCGGTAGCCTTGCAGTGGCCCAGACAGCAGGAGAATCGATGTGGGGGAGGGCAGTTGCAGAGCGATGCTCCTGTACCTCTCCCTCCAGCAGCTGACGAGCCGGGACCAGGGGACAGCCTGGAGCAGGGAGAGAAGAAGTGTCGGAGAGGAATAAGCCCGGAGCAGGTGAGCTGTGCTGTGTTCTGTGGGATCTCCCTGCCTCCGTCCCTACACTGATGGATCGTATGGGGCTGCAACCCCCCCTCCTGCTGCCCGGAGATCAGCAGCCCTTGGCGAAGGTGTTTTTGTGCAGCAGCATACAATGTGAGAAAGGAAGAGAGAGAGGGAAGATGTGTATTTCTGTGTATGTACATGTATCTGTGTGTATGCGTGTCTGTACGTAGGTGTGTGTGTGTATACAGGTGTCTCTGTGTGTTTGTTGGTGGCGAGTAACTCTAAGGCCTGGCTAGTAGCTCAGGACTTGAAATTTTAAGGCCTGCTGTGGCTAATCAGCCGCTCGGATCACTTTTAGCAGAAAGCAGCGACTGAGGAATTTTTTTAATACCGTTAAACCACTTCAAAACCGTGATGTATATTTACGATTACATCATATCAGTTTGAATACACCATTACACCTGATTAAAGAATAATCAGCACTTATTTATTTTTACTGTACTTCTTACTTTTTACCAGCAGCTTGTTTAGGGAATTCAACTGCAAGGGGTACCGTCTCTGATGATCAACAAGAAGTAAGTCACTGTGCTCTCTAGCTTGGAAGCCATGTTTACATCATTCTTTTCTTGCAGCACCTACTCCTGCCACCACTAGAGGGAGCTTGATAATTAACTTTGTATTGGGATACTCCCTCTAGTCGCAGCTGACAGTAGCTGCTGCAGAAAGGAAAAATGGGAACACTTTGCTTCCAGGGTCTTGTCCTAAAATTCAGCTTATCAGTACCCCTTGCAATTGAATCTTTTCGTGCAGAAAGAAGTACTAAAAGCACACACATTCTATTCTGGCATGACCACTTTCAACCTCACATAATTGATTTTTGTAATGTTATGTTTTCTGGATGTTTGTTTTTTTTGTCATAGGAGCAGAATCCACAGCCAAATGTGGCCCGTGTTCCTGTGTCTGTGGGAGGAGCAGTGGTTGTATCACAGCCACCACCAGTGTCTTTAACGGGTAATCATGCAAATGCAGCTTATCTGAACAGCCAACAGCAAGCTGTCATAAAGCAGCAACAGCAGCAGATGCTTCTAGAACAGCAGAAACAGAGAGAGCAAAAGCAGCAGTTACTTCTAGAGCAACAGAAACAGTATCTGATGGGACAGCAGCGACAACAGCAGCAGCTCCTGGCAGAACAGGTACGTTTGTGTTTTTAGCATTATAAAGAATCTGGCACTGTCAGACTCAGGTTTGTGGCTGCTATTCAATATTGTCAATAACACACTGCTCACAAATATTAAAGGAACAATTTCAAAACACATCAGATCTCAATGGGTAAAAATATGCTGGATATCTATACTGATATGGATGGGATAATGTGTTGAACGTAAAGATGCCCTGTCGATTGATGGAAATTAAAATTATCAACTTACAGAGGACTGAATTCATTGACACCCCGAAAATCAAAGTGAAAAAATGATGCAGCAGGCTAGTCCATTTTGCTGAAATTTCATTGCAGCAACTCAAAATGGTACTCGGTAGTTTGTATGGCCCCCATGTGCTTGTATGCATGCCTGACAACGTCGGGGCATGCTCGTAAAAGGACGATGGATGTTGTCCTGGGGTATTTCCTCCCAGATCTGGACCAGGGCATCACTGAGCTCCTGCACAGTCTGAGATGCAACCTGGCTACATCGGATGGACCGCAACATAATATCCCTGAGGTGTTCTGTTGGATTTAGGTCAGGCAAGCGTGGGGGCCATTCAATGGTATCAATTCCTTCATCCTCCAGGAAATGCATGCACATGAGGCTGGGCTTTAACCAGGAGGAACCCAGGACACACTGCACCAGCGTAGGGTCTGCGGATTTCATCCCGATTCCTAATGGCAGTCAGGGTGCCATTGTCTAGCCTGTAGAGGTCTGTGCATCCCTCCATGGATATGTCTCCGCAGACCATTACTGACCCACCACCAAAATGGTCATACTGAATGATCTTACAGGCAGCATAACATTCTCCATGGCTTCTCCAGACCCTTTCACGTCTGTCACATGTGCTCAGAGTGAACCTGCTCTCATCTGTGAAAAGCACAGGGTGCCAGTGGCGGACCTGCTAATTCTGGTGTTCAATGGCAAATGCCAATCGAACTCTATGGTGCTGGGCAGTGAGCACAGGGCCCACTAGAGGACGTTGGGCCCTCAGGCCACCCTCATGAAGTCTGTTTCTGATTGTTTGGTCAGAGACATTCACACCAGTGGCCTGCTGGAGGTCATTTTGTAGGGCTCTGGCAGTGCTTGTCCTGTTCCTCCTTGCAGAAAGGAGGAGACACTAGTCCTGATGGGTTAAGGACCTTCTACGGCCCTGTCCAGCTCTCCTAGAGTAACCGCCTGTCTCCTGGAATTTCCTCCATGCTCTTGAGACTGTTCTGGAAGACACCGCAAACCCTCTGGCAATGGCGTGTATTGATGTGCCATCCTGGAGGAGTTAGACTGCCTCTGTAGGGTCCAGGTATTGCCTCCATGCTACTAGTAGTGACACTAACCCTAGCCAAATGAAAAACTAGTGTAAAACAGTCAGAAAAGATGAGTAGGGAAAAAAATATCAGTGGCCTCCACCTTGTAAAACCATTCCTGTTTTGGGAGTCGTCTCATTGTTGCCCATCTAGTGCACCTGTTAATTTCATTAACAAAGCAGCTGAAACTAATCGACAACCCCCTCTGCTACTTAACTGATCAGATCACTATCCCAGGAGTTTGACTTGATGCTATACTCTGATTAAAAAGTGTTCCTTTAATTTTTTTTGAGCAGTGTATATAAAATATTTACTCAAACACAAAAACTGGGTGTTACTCCATGCATACCAGGTCACTCTCGGGCTAGTTAATAGGAACACTGCTGAGCAACTTGTAAGCAGTGGCTGCTCACAGGTCTGTATTCAGTTTTCATACAGCCTTCATAGCTGTCTTTCTAGGGTGAATAAATATAGAAGTAATAAAAAAAGCTAAAGTACTTCCCTTTCCTTGCAAAAAGTTTACTTTGAGCTTTCTTTTCAGTGCTGTTAATACAACGAATGCTGTGACACTTGCGGTATGTGACCTCCAAAATTAAGGAACAGACTTCAGATTGTCTAGCCCCCTCATCCGATATTATGTGACTGAAGATTGGTAACATAGTTTTAGGTTATATTTGTTTAAAGGCCCGGAGCATTCAGAGTTGAATTGCACTTGGTCCTTTAAGAGGGGAAATGAAATTCTAGTTGTTGGCTTGAGAGAATGATTTAAATACTTGAAGAACTTTATCGGTAAGGTGAAACCAAAGCTTTAGTAATAAGCAATGCAGGAGAGTGCTTCATGTTTTCCTAAACACTGGCTGTTTATTCCATTTATGAGACTTTATTAATTCTCCAAGTTTTACCATACTTTAAACAGGAGAAGCAGCGACACCAACAGGAACAGCTCCAGCGGCACCTCACCAGGCCTCCGCCTCAGTACCAGGATCAGTCACAGAATTCTTATCCACAGCAGCCAGTTGGTCCATTTCCAGGTGGGGCCTTAAACTAATCTTTAAGATATGTAAATTCTTTGCGTTTTTTCCTTCTTAAATTAAGTAGCCTTGTTTGGTGCTGTCAGTAAAGTTGTAAAAACTAATGTCTACAAGTTCAGCATCCCACAACTTCTGCAGCTTTGGCCCAGGTAAAACACATTTCCCCACCCCCTTTCTGGACAGCTAACACCAGGAGGACTAAAAACGTTTCATAGTCGCATATTACAGGACAGAGTCAAGTATTCTGAGCCACTGGATTATGCTGCTATCTTCAGGAGAACTGGACACTAGCAAAGCTGTAAGGATAGCATAGTATAAGGCCTCATGCACATTGGTTGTTCTTTTTGTTTTTTTTTTTTTTTTTCAATCTCCTGGCAGCAGTGTTTTGGCAGAAAAAATACAAGTGATACTTGTAAGCGCGGGTGTGAATATATTTCATTGGCCAGAATAACCATTTAGCACTAGGACTAATGTGTCTAGTGTTAACGTACATTTGCACGCCTCCAGCCTTTTTATCTGCTAAAACTTCACTGCTCCTGAGAATGCTAGCTGTTTTTTTGTTTTTTTTTCCTGCCTATAAATGCCCCTACCTCTGAACTTCTCTAAACAAGCATGGACACATAGGCTAACATACAGGGCCGTTTAGAGGCAAGTTCCCCTTTTTCCTGGTTGAAGCACACTCTCCTAGATCCATTAATGCTTCATAGACCTCTGTTTCTCAGATTTGCAGGGCTGCCACCTGGTCTTCTGCTCAAACAGATATGGTTTATATCAGGTGAATGTTCAGGTCTCGGCTGATGCCAGCTTTGATTGTAAGGTTCTACAGGTGACACTGTAGGCTCTGTCAAGCCACCCTTGTTGACCTGTTTGTTTGGTTTTTTTTACCTTGTTGGCCTTTCGTTTGATGTTGCCCACCCTAAGAGCTGATTCTCAGGTGTGTGTGGTGCAGATTGAAGCTCAGGTTTTATAGCTAATTGATACAGTAGTTGTTCACTGGTTTACATCAGGTTCAGGACAGAATTAGCTCACAGGATTATCATGTTCACACACATACGGTTTAGAAATTGTTCCCATAGAAGTCAATACCTTGTAATCTACACCTGAACCAGATCGCACTGCTCAGAAATCGCACTGCTCTTTTACACACTGCACTGAATCCGCACCACACATATGTGAACAGGCACCGTAAGAAGCGATGTTTTTTTCACATGTCATGCAGATTGGATGGGGTTCAAACCGCATCCAATCTGCATATATGTGAACTGGCACTAAGCTGGAAAAATATAAAATATGATGTGCTTATCAAAGTGTCTTGAATAAGGTAGTGGTCACATTTAAGTGAACCTGTTTGGTATTTAATTACCATGTACCCAATGGTTACGATGAGGAAGTCGCTGGTGGAGTGGTGGAATGTCTTCAGAATGACAAAAAAAAAGTCCAGTCGACTGTATCGACCTAGATAAATATCCTTCACATATAAGAACTGTCTGCTCCCAGAGCAGACCAGTGCAGTTGAGTCTTAAGAGGTGTGGTTTTCTCATTCTGGTAAAATTAGTGTTCACATAGAGAATATTTATTTGCAAATGGGTAAATAATGCAGACCAGCACTGAGCTGAAGTAAAGTGTATACTTAATGCAGTGAATGGCTTACTTTGATGAGCAATCTGCCCAAATGACTGGAGAGGAAACCTCAATTTTTCCATTTTAAAAGCAAACATTAGCTTGACCAAAGTGGGCCAGTGGGATAATTTTATAATGGGGTATAGTGTGCACATTGTGCTTTTTATCGGTAAATTTGTGCAGAATTAAAAAAAGCATTTATAATTTTTTTTATCATCAAAAGGTGAACTTATTCTTTTAAGACATCAAAAGTGCCCAAACCAAAGTATTTTTTTCCTTTCCTCAACCCAAAGTCTTAAAGCAGTTCTATAATGTGTATCTATGAAATGATCCAGGCCTTTTTTAAAGCAATCTACTGAGGTGGCCAGAACCAACTCTTGAGGGAGTCTATTCCACATTTTCACAGCTATCACTGTGAAGAAACCTTTTCTGTATTTGGAGATGAAATCTCTTTTCCTTCAGATGTAAAGTGTGCCCCCTTGTCCTCTGTGATGACCTCAGGGTGAATAACTTTACACAGTGTTTACTGTATGAACCACTGATGTATGCAGTTGATCATATCCCCCCATGTTGATCATATCATGTTGATCATATCCCCCCTTAATCTCCTCTTCTCAAGAGAATAAATTCAGTTCCTCTAATCTTTCCTCATAGCTCTGATCTCCTCCATGCCTCTTATCAGTTTGGTTGCCCTTCTCTGCACTTTCTTCAGTTCTCCAATGTTCTTTTTGTGAATTGGTGCCCAAAACTGAACTGCGTATTCCAGATGAGGTGTTACTAATGATTTGTACAGGGGTAATATGATATCTCTCTCTCTGGAGTCTATACCTCTTTTAATACAAGAGAGATTTTGCTCACCTTAGAAACCGCAGTTTGGCATTGCATGCCATTATTAAGCTTGTGATCTACCAGAACCCCCAGATCCTTCTCCACCATTGATTCCCCCAGTTGTACTCCCCCTAGTATGTATGATGCATGTATATTCTTAGCCCCCAAGTGCAGAACCTTACATTTATCAACATTAAATCTCATTTGCCACATAGTTGCCCAATTAAACAGTGCATTGAGGTCGGCTTGTAAATTAGAGACATCCTGTAAGGACGTTATTCTACTGCACAGCTTGGTGTCATCTACAAAGACTGAAACTGTATGTTTAATCCCAGACCCTATATCATTTAAAAATATATTAAAAAGTAAGGGTCCCAACACTGAACCTTGGGGTACACCACTGACAACCCTAGACCATTCACTGTTTGAATCATTAACCACTACTCTCTGAATACGATCTTTTACCCAGTTTTCTATCCATTTACATACAGATTTTTCCAAGCCCGTAGACTTTACCTTACAAATTTGCGGTGTGTGGGGAACTGTGTCAAATGCTTTTGCAAAATCCAAGTATACCACGTCTACTGCCACCCCTCTGTCCAAGGTTTTGCTCACCTCCTCATAAAAAGAAATCTGATTTGTTTGTCAACTTCTGTCTCTCATGAATCCATGCTGTCTGTTGCTTAAAATATTTTTTTTCCAGCAAGAACTTATCTATGTGGTCCTTTATTAAACTCTCCAGTATCTTCCCAAGTATAAATGGTAAACTAACAGGTCTATAATTACTTGGTAAAGATTTTTATCCCTTTTTAACTATAGGCACCACATTGGCCTTACGCCAATCCAGTGGTAATATGCCAGTCATTAAAGAGTCCCTAAAAATTAGAAACAATAGATTTGAAATGACAGAGCTCAATTTTTTAAGGACCTGTGGGTGTATGCCATCCGGTCCAGGTGCTTTATTCACCTTTATTCTGTCTAAATATTTCCGTACCATATCAGTTGTGAGCCAATGTGGATCATCTGGGGCTGTGTCGATACCGTGCTCATTATGGACAAGAGCTCCCCCCATGCTCCTTTGTATACACAGAGCTGAAGAAAGTATTTAATTTGCCTTCTCTTTGTCCCCAGTCACCCACTCTAGATTATTTTGTAAAGGGGTAGTGAAGTCCTCTAAGCAAAAAAAAGAAGTCCGTGTATCTATACCCAAAAAATTATGTATTGTAGCATAGCTGTGTTTACATACAGTTTAGTGGCTGGCATGGTACCAATTGATTGGTTTCGGACCAATGTGGTTTCTATATTTAAAAATTGATCAAAGTCTTTTCCAAGTACCGTATTTTCCGGCGTATAAGACGACTGGGCGTATAAGATGACCCCCTACTTTTCCTGTTAAAATATAGGGTTTGAGCTATACTCGCCGTATAAGACTACCCCACTTCCAACGCACACCAAATAAAAATGAAAAAACATCAGATTTGATTTCAATATGGTATGCTATTTCAGTATGGTATTCCAATGATGGGGTGCTATTCCTCCCACTGACACCAATGATGAGGCACTACTCCTCCCACTGACACCAATGATGGGGCACTATTTCATCCACTGATACCAATGATGGGACACTATTCCTCCCACTGACACCAATGATGGTGCCCCATCATTAGTGTCAGTGTGTGAGGAATAGTGCCCCATCATTAGTCAGTGGGAGGAATAGTGCCCCATAATTGGTGTCAGTGGGAAGAATCGTGCCCCATCATTGGTGTCAGTGGGAGGAATAGTGTCCCATCATTAGTGTCAGTGGGAGGAATAGTGTCCCATCATTAGTGTCAGTGGGAGGAATAGTGTCCCATCATTGGTGTCATTGGGAGGAATAGTGCTCCATCATTGGTGTCATTGGGAGGAATAGTGCTCCATCATTGGTGTCAGTGGGAGGAATAGCGGCCCATCATTGGTATCAGTGGGAGGAATAGCACCCCATCATTGGTATCAGTGGGAGGAATAGCACCCCATCATTGGTGTCAGTGGGAGGAATTGCGCCCCATCATTGGTGTCAGTGGGGGAATAGTGCCCCATCATTGGTGTCAGTGGGGAGAATAGTGCCCCATCATTGGTGTCAGTGGGGAGAATAGTGCCCCATCATTGGTGTCAGTGGGGAGGAGGAATAGTGCCCCATCATTGGTGTCAGTGGGGGGAGGAATAGTGCCCCATCATTGGTATCAGTGGGGAGATTAGTGCCCCATCATTGGTGTCAGTGGGGAGGAGGAATAGTGCCCCATCATTGGTGTCAGTGGGGGAGGAACAGTGCCTCATCGTTGGTGTCAGTGGGGAGGAACAGTGCCTCATCGTTGGTGTCAGTGGGGGGAGGAACAGTGCCTCATCGTTGGTGTCAGTGGGGGAGGAACAGTGCCTCATCGTTGGTGTCAGTGGGGGAGGAACAGTGCCTCATCGTTGGTGTCAGTGGGGGAGGAACAGTGCCTCATCGTTGGTGTCAGTGGGGGAGGAACAGTGCCTCATCGTTGGTGTCAGTGGGGGAGGAACAGTGCCTCATC